GAGGACTCGGCTGATGAAGTAGACCAGCGTCTGTACTTTCTGATGTTCCTGCACTATCACTGCGCTGATGGCGTTTTCTGCCACGGCCAAATAGAGGAAGAGGTTGGTTTTGTGATCTGGCCTCTGTAGGATTGGCGGAGTCGTGAGAAAAGTCTTGAAATTGTGGAAAGCTTCTTCGCACTGATTCGTCCACTGGAATTTTTTTGGCTTCCATAGCAGAGTGAAGATTTGCCCTGCTTTCTCCGCGAGTCTGGGGATGAAGCAGGACAGTGAGACTAACCGTCCGGCCAGGCATTGGACGTCTTTCACCGTTTGCAAACTCTGCATCTGGATAATGGCTTTGCACTTCTCAAGGTTGGCCTCGATTCCTCTGCTAGTGATCATGAAACTGAGGAACATCCCTCCCTGGACACCGAAGACGCACTTCTCCGGGTTGAGATGCATGTTATGTCTCCTGATCTGGGCGAACACCTCTACGAGGTTGATAGCATGGTCGGTGGCCGAGGTGGTCTTGACCACCATGTCGTCGACGTAGACTTCCATGTTCTGCCTGATCTGCTGGTGGAAAACCTTGTCCATCAGTCGCTAGTAAGTGGCCCTTGCGTTTTTGAGACCGAAGGGCATCACCCAGTAGCAGTAATTGGCGTGGTCAGTGATGAAGGACGTATGCACCCCGTCGGGTGGGTACATCATTATCTGGTTGTGCCCGGAGTAGGCGTCGAGGAAGCTGAGGAGGGCATGCCCGGATGCTCTATCGACTAGCCTGTCAATGCTCGGCAAGGGGTACGAGTCCTTGGGGCATGCTCTGTTCAAGTCGGTGTAGTCGACGCACATACGCCACTTCCCCAAGCTCTTCTTCACCAGAACCACATTCGCCAGCCATGTGGTGTACCTGACTTCACGGATGAAGCTGGCGTTCAACAACTTTTGTGTCTCGGTGATGATGGCCTCCTGCCTTTCACCACCGACCTTCCTTTTTCTTTGGGCCACTGGCTTTGCCTCCTTGTGTATTGCTAACCTGTGATAGATGAAGTCAGCGTTTATACCTGGCATGTCGGCACTGGACCAGGCGAAGAGGTCGGCGTTCTTAAGGATCTCAGCTTCGAGCTGCTGTCGCAACTCCAAGCTCAACTACCTGCTGATTTTTGTGCACTGCCCGGGGAGTTTCCCGATCTGGAGGTCATCAAGCTCGTCAATGGGGCTTGGCCGCTCGTCATGGGAGTCAGATCTCGGATCGAGATCAGCGATTTCCACATGGGTGATGTGAGCCACGGTGGGGGGATCCTTCTTGCTTTGCTCGCCAAACGAGGAGATCTTCAGACTCTCAGTGTAGCACTATCGAGCTGTCTTCTGATTTGCTTTGACGGAGATGATTTTACCGTCACTTCCTGGGAACTTCATGGTGAGGTGTGGGGTGGACACCACTGCTCCGAGCTGATTCAACGTCGGCCTCCCAATGATGATATTATAGGATGTGTTGGCTTCCACAAGGACGTATCGGACCATAATTCTCCTTGTATCTGGAGAAGTTCCGAAGGTGGTCAATAGGTCCACGTATCCCCGGGTGTGTACTTGCTCTCCTACAAAACCGACTAGGGGCTCTGTGTGAGGTTGGATGAGAGAGTGAGGGATGTCTAACCTGAGGAAGGTCAGCCAATACAGGACGTCTACCGAGCTCCCTTGGTCTATAGTGTCTTGTGGACCTCCCAATTAGCTACCTCTACGACTATGAGCATGGGATGATCCTGGTTGGGACTGACGCCAGCATAGTCGTCATTGGTGAAGGTGATCGGCGACGAGCTCTGGTGCGAAGCCGAGGTAGTGGAATGGATGCTGTTGATATTGCGCAGGTGTCTCTTCTAGGCTGAGCTGCTGGCGCCTCCCCTTGTGAAACCACCTGCAATTGTATTGATTACTCCCCGTAGGGAAGCTGACCCTGTTTCCTGGCTTACCTCGGCTTGCACTGTTCTGCTGACGTTCTGTTGGGAGCTAGAGGGTTGGTCCGTGCGAGCTCCTGAACCACGACCTCTGCCTCGTCCTCGTCCACCATAGCCTCCTCGGTGCCCCTGCTGTCGCTGGACATATTGGCCGAGATGGCCTGACTGGATGAGTTTCTCAATGCGGTCTCAGAGTGTGCAGCACTCCTCAGTGGTGTGACCGTGATTCCTGTGGAACCGACAGTGCTTGGACTTGTCGGCACTATTGGGGGTGTGACCTGGCGGTGGCAGAGTGAGCAGGTTGCTGGCCTCCTCCAGGATATGTACTCGGGGCGTGTTTAGGGGAGTATAGAAGTCATATCTCCCCCCTTTGTTTGCCCTAGCTGATTTCTTGAACTGGCTGTCATTATTGACCTTGATCTTGTCCTTGTGACCCTGTTCTAGCTTCATTGGTCCCTTGCCGCAAACCTGGTCACGGAAAGCGGAGTGTTCCTCCATCTGGATGTAGCCTGCAGCGCGGGCGTGGTGCTCGTCCATGTCGCGAGGAGCCTCACAACATAGGTTGTCGACGAATTGCCCAAGCTTGAGTGCCATGAGCATGGCATGTAGGGCGACCTCGGGGTTCAGATTTCTGATCTTAACCGAGGTGGCGGCAAATCGCTCCATGAACGCCCGCAGTGGTTCGTTGCCGTTCTGTCTGAGACTGGCCAGGGCGGCTGAAGTGATGTGGTGAGGCCGGCTCGTTGCATATTGCGCCGTGAATCGCCTGACCAGAGTGCTAAAACTGTCGATTGACTCAGCGGGAAGCTGGGTGTACCAGTTGAGCGCGGCCCCTTTGAGCGAGGTCGGAAAAACCCTACACAAAATAGCATCATTGTTAGTGTAGAGGTTTACCTGTGTCGTATACAGGTCGATGTGCTCATCGGGGTCCATCGTGCCATCATAGCGATTGAGGTGGAGAGGTTTCCATCCCTGAGGGAGTGGTGTCTCCATGATGCCATCCGCAAAGGGATGACGGCAGAAGGTTGTTTGACCCCCCGTGACATGAGTAGGGGCCTTGCTAACTTCATGGGCCGACTTGCAAAGGGATGACGGCAGAAGGTTGTTTGACCCCCCGTGACATGAGTAGGGGCCTTGCTAACTTCATGGGCCGACTTGTTCGTTGGTGCATGAGACCGATGTGTGGCAGGTCGCGGAGTCGGTGCCCTAGTCGCAGTCTGGGGTTGGGAGACCGAATTCCCTTCTTCCTCATGGAGGTTGCTCGCTTGAGGCTGATGCTCAGAGGGGTGACGAGGGAGTTGAGCGCGAATCCGCTCGTTTTCGGCACGTAGTGCCGCTAGGTCAGCTTCATTAGCGGTCTGCATCGCCGCTAGGTCGATTTTGTGCTTGGCACGCATGTTTCGCAGATCGGCGTCGTGTTGTTGCCGCATCCGTTCGACCTGGTCGATCAGTCTCCTCAATGTGGCTTCGTTTTCCATGGTAGTTGTGTGATCTGCGTCGTTTGTTGCACACCTACTATGACTTCTGGTGAATACCATAAGCGTGGCCGATAAGAGCTGTCTTGATCGACCCCACGGTGGGCGCCAAATGTTCTTACCAGAGATCTGCTGTAGAGATGATCCGCCGAGTAAGATTGATGAGCCTCCTTTGCTGGTACGTTGGTATTCCAAGATGAGGGTGGTACCTGCAAAAGAGACTCTGATGCTAAAGTTAGGGTTTGTATGAGTAGATGTCTCGTATAAGTAATGCACGTACCTTAGTGTGAATTAGGATTGCGTTAGGCCTTGGGCCTGAGATCAGTTATGATCTAATTAGATAGCGGATCTCGTATGGACCGAGATCTTCTGAGATCAGTTATGATCTGGTTGGATTGCGGATCTCGTCTAGACCGAGATCTCCAAATGCGTGTTCTGAGGTCATTCCACGCCGTGATGCCGAGCTCGAGCTCGGCATGGCGGCACGGATAGTACACATAATAAAAAATTAAAAAAATAAAATTCATAGTAAAAAAGGAAATAAAATAATTGTTGAGTCATAAAAGGGGAAGGATAATTATAACAAGTTCAAAGGATGGAGAGAGATCACAGTTTTTGTGCTGAGAGGGTTCTTTCCCCAACTAAGATCCATTCTTATCTCATTCTACTCACAAATCCTAATTCAAATTCATCTTATATATATATATATATATATATA